CAATTATTAAGTAATTATTAACCAATTCTCATTTGAAGTCATCATTTGGAAACCTTATGAATCTACACATGGCTTTCCAGGACCAATGGGCATGCATTTCTGACCTACTCCATTTTCAGATCATGGAAGACCAGAAACAAAGTTCAAACAAAAGAACAACTTTAAAACATAAAGGAATTGAGACATCAGAGCTTAGAACTTCTCTGTATCATAGATAAACCATAGGAGATGACATAGAAGGAAAGGGAGAAATATGAAAAAGAATAACAAGAGGAAGGAAGAAAGAAACTGAACCAAGATACAAATAGTGTAAAAGGAACCCTTTAGAGAAAAGCATATTTGAATTAGGTCTGTTTTGTTTCGTTTTTTGCAGGTTGTAGCCCATTCCTAATGTTGACCTCATACCCTCTGACCCTCTTTGAGCCAACAACAGCTCTACTGCATGAAAACTGCTCTCTTCACTGTTGATGCCTGTCTCTATTGCCTGTTTCTCCTTCTCATCTAACTCCATTGGATCCCTAAAGGCCTTAGGTTTGCTTTCCACCCCACTGAGCCACACAGCCTCCTCTCTACCTGTCACTAATTGCACGCTTATATTTAGAAGAGTCTGAAATGCACAGGAGAGAAAGTGGGAAGGCTGCTACATTCTTCTGCATCCCTCAGCTGCAGGGCTCCATCCCAGAAATGGGCACCATTTTCGGAGCAGCCACAATTCATTTCAATCACTCCAAAAATGGTGCCTGCTTCTGGAAGAGACCCATACAACCTAGGGATGAAGTAGCCTGTTCTACGGTTGTTCTTCTCCAGAAATTGCATTAGTTAAGCAGAGCAGGCTACTCTGTCCCTAAGCCACATGGCTCTTGCAGAAGAAGGGGCCATTTTCAGGGTGCCTGTAATGTATTGTGTCCCCTCCGAAAATGGCAGCTGTCTCCAAGATGGAGCCATTATTATTATTTATAAAATTTATATGCTGCCCAATCCCGAAGGACTTCGGGCCGCTTACAAAAAAGAGGGGGGGGGAAAGACACATAACGAAAAAAAATGGTTTAAAATAGCAACACCTCATACATTCATTCTAATCGGGGCTGGACCTCAACAGTGAGGTCAACAGCCCCAGGCCTGCCGGAACAGCCAAGTTTTTACAGCTTTCCTGAAGGCCATGAGAGTGGGTATGGTCTGGATCTCTGGGGGTAGCTGATTCCAAAGAGTCGAAGCAGCCACAGAGAAGGCTCTCCTCCGGGGGCCCACCAGCCGACACTGTCTGGCTGACGGCATCTGAAGGAGGCCCAATCTGTGGGATCTTACTGGCCGCTGGGAGGTATGTGGCAGAAGGCGGTCTCGAAGGTACGCTGGCCCTAAGTCATATAGGGCTTTAAAGGTAATAACCAACACCTTGGCCATGCGGCCAAGCAACTCCAAGAGACATAGTGGCCTGCCCTTTTTCCTCACATGATCTCTTGAAATCTTCTAAACATAAGTGTGCAATTGATGACAGGGAGTGGAGGCTGTGGGATTCAGGACTTTAGAGACAGGAACAGATTCCAGCTTTTTAACTGTGAAGGCTCTGGAGAAGAAAGGAATGAAGTTTCATTTAAAGTTGTTTCCTGGGTGAAAAATGATTTGGCAAAAGGAAAGGAAGGTGTCAGTCATAGATAATAGTTACCTTGGAAATAAATACACTTCCCTATTAGATACAATGACTAAAGTTAAGGCCAACACAAAGCACTTTCACTTGTTTTTGAAGTGCTCTTATTTATCTGTTTAAAAGCAAAAACAAATTGAATTGTTCAAATCAAGCTCAATTCCTGTTAACTTTAAAACATCTATGTGATTGTCCCAGGAGTAATACAGAAAAGCTTTTGTGTTTTTCTGAGACTTTTCCAGGCCAATTTACTGCCCAAATTTTCCTGGTGGTCTCCCACCCAATTATTAATCTGATCTGGCCTGTCTTGACTTTTCTTCAGCCAAAGTTGGTCAGATACTACCGGATAAAATCACCTCCGATTCACACTTTAGGCATCTTACTCTTAAATAGTCACTTGTCTAGTTCATAGAATAGTGTCCTGGCTTTTGAAGAAAAACAAACCTTTGAACCAGTCTTGACAATAATCTTTGAAATTCAGAAACCCAGGGGCATTTTTCTCACATTTCATTTCATTCTTGGGATACTGGGATGTTAAAACAAAATCATGAAATGTCTAAAGTGGAGTAAGTAGCTATTCACAAAATGCTGAGACTCAGTCATTGATTCATCAAAGCACATTATACATATATGGTCTCAAAGGCAATGGTTGTCTGACCTGTTGTATCAATGATTCAACAATGCCATTATGGGTCATAGCTTCTTGGATGAGAAATGAAATATCTCCAAAGAAAAGCCAGAACGTCCAGTCGCTTCTTGAAAAAGCACCTTTGGGACAACCATGTCCTGACTGATAATTTCCATAGACATATTTCATTCTGGTTCATCTGTGGATTTGTTTAATGTACGCATGTCATCTCATGCTCCTATGTTCTGCCACTACAGTCCAAATTTTGCATTATGTTTGTTGCAAAAAAACATTTTAAATAGCTGGTTTAAGTATCTTTAATGTTCTCATTCCACAAAGCTAAAACAGAATCTTTTGTTTTGTTGTTTCCCAGAGTTAATTAGTGACAAATTACCCCAAACAACATAGTTTTGGAAACTGAACTGCAAAGTTCTAAATTGCTGACAGAAATTTAGACAACTTAGAGTGATTTTAAATATTTCTGAAGAAATCTTGGTTATACCAGTTGGCTGACCAAAAGTAATTAGCCTGCCCTATAAGTTACTGAAAGGAATGTGGGAGATTGGGAGCTGTTCCAAACAAGGGGAGTGAGGGGGAATGAGAGACAAAATGAATGTTTCATATTTAAGGGCAAAGGAAGAATAGCTATCACTTGTTTCCATAAAATTTATAAAATAGGCTGTTGCAAAAATGTTTTAAGAATAATATGTAGCTAGTTTTTCTACAATCAGGTTTGGAGCAGTGAGGTGGCCTATCACCTTATCTTTGCTGTTATTGTTATGCTTGGGATTATGCTTACTGTTAAGCAAGGGGCTTGGTCAGAATTCTTATAGCTTCCTATGTCCATAATACTCAAAAACTTGTATGTTTTCATATAACATAAGCCACAAATGGCAAATAATTCTGAAAATCTTAGAATTCTGATCTTTCTTTTTTTCAGGTGCGGGTGCATTCACAGGTCACAGGACTAATGAAAGCAAACATAGAAGCAATGTGTACTGCTGTATCTCCTGCTTTAAGAAACAACTATGAGTCTTTAACACTCAACATTTGTATCAGTGCAGAAATGCATCCTGAATACACAATTTTTTTCCGACTGGGTGACATAGTAATTAAGAAAAGGTAATTAAAGAGCGATTACTAATTACTAAAAAGTAATTAACTGTAACTCTATTCTGGAAATATACTGTGTGGTATACTTGCCCCATACTGTAGTTGAATACCAACTCCCATGTAAAGGGACACTTAATAAAGATATACTGTGTTATCAGAACTATCAATAGTTCATGAATACAGTGCAACTATGTGCTCTATGAAGCTTCCTTGTCTTATACTCATGGGGATAGGTGTCAGCTATGTTTGGGGAGTACATGTTCATGAAAATGTATCATCTGAGTGGGACTTATGTACACAATAAAACTGCAATAATAAATGGTAGCCAATGCAAAAATATAGCAAAATATAAGAGAAACCTCTTTTCAGCAGTCTTTGCATATACCAAACAAAATTCCAATAAAAACTTTGTCTCCAGATTCTGTATAGTATCTGTTGTTTGCAGAGCAATTATGACAGTGGTCACTTCTCAATCAGCTTCACTGGAGATTTCAAATGGGTGGAGCTTCAACTCCTCTGCATGCATTGCATGGCACGCCTGTGTCTGGAGAGTCACAGCAGCACTAGTGCAGTCACTACCACCAAAACATACAAAACCCTCACTTACTCTCATAATAGATATGTACTCCCATCTTTTGAACACAAAGAGAAAAAGACTTTGATCCAAATACTCCCTGTATCTTGGTATACATGCTTTTTGCATCTTCCATACTGTAGATGTACAGATGTACTGTACTACCTTACAAGGGAAACTTTTCAATCACATGAGGGTTCACTCCTCAATCTTGAATGCTTTCTGCTCCTCCTTTGCCTGTCACTTTCCCATCCCACTCTACCTTCTTGAACATAGAAAAGGCAAGAAGACAGCTAAGCAGGTTCTTTGCATCTTCTTGGTGCATCCATGCTTCTAACCTTGTCACTTTCCAAAGCTGACTTCTCTCCTTGTCAATTAATGCCAAAATTTTCAAACATATCTTCTTCCACTCTGCTAACTTCACTAGGATGGGTATGTTCTTTATCTCATATCAGAAGGTACTTTCCCCGCTCCAGCTCCTCTTGACTTGCCACAAATCAGAAAAAGAGTAATTCTCTTTATTTCATCTTCTACCCCTTCACCTCTCATGAATTATATTATTCTATTTCCATCTTTGGCTTTAACATACATTCAGCTATCCTATCTCTTCCCTGAATTGTCTATTACTGTATATATGGATACAACCTGTGTTGTTGGCATGCTAAGATTTGTTTTTCTAAAATTGATCCTTGTGTGTGAGTGCCATCTTGTGGTCAAATTATTCTCATCTTATGGTCAAATTATTCTCATCTTATTTGTCATTTAGGGCTGCACTCCTACAAATGCTGATGGAAATAAACTGGATTGAATTTATAAATTTTTCTTTCATGTAAATATATATAGCAAGATCAAGACTTCAGTAACTTTAGTTTCAGTAACTCCTATTCTTAAGTTATTAATTTTATAGGTTAATATGGGAAATGAATTTGATAAGAATATGTTCTGCGACTGACATCATCAATGATGAAAATAAAATAAAATCATACTGTAGTTGTGCATACCGGTTAAATGTTTGAAAGCATTTTCATTCAAGAATAAAAATGGAAAGAGACACAGCTCAGGAACATATTTTTAAAATGTATTTTGTAAATAAACACTGAGCACACTACTCAAGACTAACTCTTCCACCACTGATTTCAAAAACAGTTATTGTTTTGGTTCAGCACTTTTAGTCTCCTTCAACATTTCTTGCCAGTTTTTCTCCATTTCTTCCTTACAAGTGAGAAAGGCATCTTCCAGACGTCTCATTGAATTGGCCAAGTCTGGATTAGCGCGCATTACCACCATATCATAAGCCATCCAAGTAGCCTGCACTGGGACAACCCAACAGATAAATTCAGTGATTCAATGGGTGAATTTGAATGGGATGAATGAGAAAGTAATAAAAAATAAACAGTAGCAGAACTGCCAATTCTAATTCTAAATATTTTTTCAAATATGGTATTTAAGGATTCAAGCCAATGCTTGCAAATGTTTGTATTATGCTACAGAAAATAGTTTATTCATCTACTGTTTTCCATTTCACTAATCATCAGGGTAGTTCTGTGTCACAATTTTTAATTACAAAAGTTCTTGTTTTGACTATGTACGTATTCCTGATTACTTTTAACATGGACACTATACTGTAATGTACAGATATGCAATAAACAAAATTGTTAAGTAATTAATCTCACAATGTTAAATTAGTCCATTAAAAACAGTAGTGTGAATAAATGAATCAGGAATTGATCCATTAAAAGGAAGTTAAAATCTCTTCCCTGAAATGCACTCCTGATGAAAACAGTATGTCAAGGTTTGTTTGTTTTTTGCATAATCTGATTTACATTATCATAGTTGCTATATGTTTAGAACGTCTAATTAGAGAGACCAGATTTTTATTTGTAAAATGATGTTTTAATGAGAGCAAAAGCAATCAGTCAAATGACTACCCTATTTAGCGACCATTTGAAATTACAACAGTACTGAAAAAATAACTTTAGGAACAGTCTTCATACTTATAATCATCGCAGTGTCCCTATGATTGAGATTTTAGGTGCTTTATAATCGGTGGGCATTGTCACAGCATTCTGCAATCACATGATCACAATTTGCACACTTCATAACCAGCTTCTGACCAGCAGAGTCAATGGAGAAGCTGGCAGTAAAATTGAAAGTTGCAGTCATGTGATGTCTTGCTTAACGACTGTGGGTAATTCACTTAATGACTGTCATGAAAGTGAGATCATGTCCATCAGGGTCATGTAATATTTTGCTTAGCAGCCCTATCACTTAGCCTTATTATTTGAGTTTTTCTTCCAGAGTTTTTTTAATGCGTTTCCAATAATACAATATTCTTTCATGAACTGGAAAACCTAATCTGCAAAGAAGGATTTCAATACAGAGACATAATGAATTGAAAATATTTACTCTTTTCCCACAACATATTATCTGCTTCAGTGGTGGGTTTGTACCAGTTTTACTACTGGTTCGCTTGTGCACGCGTGACGCTTCTGCACATGTGCAGAAGTGTTCAGGTGGGTGGGCAGAGCCTCCTGCTGCCGCCACTACCAGTTCAGCCGAACCGGGCCGAACTGGAAGCAACCCATCTCTGATCTGCTTCCTTGATAACTATTTTTCCATATGTTTTTAAAAGCCCTTAATACATATGGACCATTTAATATGAAAAGGCAGAAATTTTTTTAGTTAAAGATAGTTAAACAAAAATTTCTTTCTAGCATTCTTTATTACTGTGTTTATAATTGAGTCTGCACATTTGCAAAATGATGACATTTCCTATAAGAAATTATTTTCATTTAGTACTTTAAAAAAACATTCTTCTGAAAAATGAAAAGAAATTATGGTACTTAAATGAGCAATTTTTCTGGAAAAGCAAAGTAAAAAGTTCATAAAAACAAACTACATTAAGCTTAATTCCATAAAATAATAATCTGCAGAAACAGATCAGGTTACATAAAACAGTTCTAGCATAGAAATCCATAGTTCTTAACTATATGCTACATATGACTAGTGCTACCTAATGGGAACGCACATCCAACAGTTACTAATAAGTATTGTAATTCGAATGAACATATACAAAAACTGCAGTAAATTCTTATTACTCTGAATTGATAATTTGTTAGCAATATATAGATACACTTCAGGAATACATCACACCTGATAATTTTTCCATGTCTTCCAGAAGCTTTTCCAAATCCCTGTTCAAATCCTCAAGCATTTTTACCATGTTATCATAACTTCTTTCGCAGGGTTCACATTTAGCCATCTAATAGAAAACAAATGATTATTAATAGTAGAGCAACATGTGAACCTATATTTGATGCAAGCAATAAAATGATGGTTTTAAAAAATTTTAATATTCATTTTAAGCATTTTATCAAACCAGAAGATTCCCAGTTTGGTTTAGAAACAATAAATAAATATAGTTTTTGAGTGCAGACACAATCAGGTTTCAGAGGGCGCTTAAGATTCTTAAGTTTGGTTGAGGCCCTGGTCACTGCTTGAATAAGGGAGTGGTGATGCTTTCAAATAGATTACACCACTGCACTCTTCTTGTGCAGACTCTGGTATGTTTCCTAGTTTTAGGAGGAACTTGGAAGGATCTTTGGTGGGTAAAGCAGCAAAAGAAATGCCCACAGCACCACTGATATGAGAATACTACAGTTCTGCTGTAATAACTATTCTCAGTACCTTGTATATTAGATTGCTTGGATTTGTTCCAAGTTAGTCTCCAGTTGGGCAAGTCCTATGGATTTGACTGAAGCTTGATCCTATGTTATCTATAATTATTTTTACCCAGTAGATTTGAGGAAGTGAATAGGGTCCTTGGTACTGTGGATACAGTACCTGTAATTTTGATTCAATCCCTTCCTGGCTGGTCAAGGCCAGGAAGGGGGCATGTAGATGGGTCTGTCTAGTGGCAAATTCTTCCCTAAGAGAACGGATGGTCCTGATGCTTGAATCAGGCTATAGTCTATGCTCCTTTTCAAGAAGAAATCATCATTGAATCCTGCGTATCTGGACAATCTTCATCCAGTCTGCAACATGTTTTGCTAGGAAGGCCCAAGTTTTAAAAAGTCCTGGAAGAAATGGATTATGTGGATCTTTTCTAGTCAAATACAGTCCAGGATAGTCCTGAGAAACCTTTGGTCACACTTGTTGATAAATTTTGGGGTCAGGATGGCAGTAATTCATTCATCCTATTCTTTTTTGTTAACCTCTCAGTAGCCTCCAATAATTCGATTAGCCATAGTAATCTTTTGGTCTGGCTTAACTGGTTGAGTACTGTCCTGCAATGGTCTCTTCCTTCCTTCAGACCAGTGTTGTTGGTTTACCCCTAGGCCTCTGCTTTGTGGGGTACCACAGGTGTTTTTCTCTCCTTTTTAACATTAGAGCGCTGTTTTACCACTACACTGATGATATTCGATTTTACATCTCCACCATAGTTGCTACCAAGTGAAGCTAGCAAACTTCTGTCAGTGTCTAGAGGTTATGGGATCTGGATGGTGAACCAGACTCCAGTTCAATCCTTCTAGGACTGAGTAGCTGTTAGTTTTGGCTCCTACAAGAACTGGAAAAATTTTAAACCTTGTCTCTGAGTGGGGTAATCCTGCCCCATTTGAATGTATTTGACAACATGGGTATCCTTCTGAATTCACAGTTCCTATTGAAAGAACAGGTGGCAACTGTGGCTGAAAGCATTTTTACAGAACTTTGTCTTGTGCACCAATTGTGTCTATTCCTAGAGCTGGGAGCCCTGTTCTCAATCTCTCATGTCACCTCCTGTCACCCTTCCCAGGTAGGACCAGACCAGATAGGAAACAAAAGCAGATGAGTTCTTTCTACTTTATTGTTAAGGCTATGTGAACATCATCTTACAAGTCTGAAAGTACAAACCTCCCATCATCTCCTTTACATCCTGAGAAGCTAAGGGAGGGTCCCTTCTGAGCCTTTTTCTCTACCCATTATGCTGTTGCAAGCTATGCACTCTCTCATTTGGCCATTCCCTAGGCAACATTTCTTCACCTGGTCTCCAGGACTTTCTCAAATATGGATTATTGCAATGCACTTTACTTGGGGCTGCCCTTTAAAATCATTCAAAAAATTCATTGATACATAATGCAGCAAAACAAATGATTCATCACCTCTTGACATCTTGACTCCACAATCTACACTGGCTCCTGATAGGCTTCTGAGTATAATTGTAGGTTTTCGTTGTTACCTACAAAACACCCAATGGTATAGGACCATGCGGAGCTGCCTCCCTGCTAGGACAGTGATGGCAAACCTTTTCGGCACCGAGTGCCCAAACCAGAACATGTGTGAATATGCACGCACCGGGGTGACAGAAACCTGAAGACGAGCTGGCCAGCGCATGCATGCCTGTTTGGGGGACATTTTTTGCTGTTTTCAGGCCATTTTTGGCCCAAAAAAATAACCAGAAAATGGCCCAGAAAATGGCTACAAAACCAGCCTGGTTTGGGGACAATTTGGGGGCCATTTTCAGACTGTTTTCTGGTGCACTTGTGCCCACGAAGAACAGCTGGC